AATCGAAACTGAGAAAAATAATCCCTGAGATGACATCGGAATCAAAAGAGAATTAGGCGAACAAGCTTGTTTTCGGTGGTTCGCATCAGGCCAACACACCACAGATGATAGGAATAAATCAAACACAGTGTATTTAAATACGATGAATCAATGAAGTGAATTGACCGGTTAATGCGATCATGTGACCACACTGGCTTGGGCATCATTAGTGGAAGGGTCAAGCGTGGTGTCCTAACATGGGGAAGCTTGAGGCCATGGCAGCTGCAGAGCCTGTACAAACTTCTTTTGGGCACATAATTCGGGATTATGGAGCCGAATAGCGATTGCTTCCGCTGTCGCCAATAGGCGACATCGGAGGGTTCGCGCGTGGCGCCAGGCATCTTGTAGATAGGCCAGAAGGCCTCTCGCACATCCACTAACGATGCCCAAGCCAGTGTGGTCACTTGATCGCATTAACCGGTCAATTCACTTCATTGATTCATTGTATTTAAATACCCTGTGTTTGATTTATTCCTATCATCTGTGGTGTGTTGGCCTGATGCGATCCACCGAAAACAAGCTTGTTCGCCTAACTGTCTTTTGATTCTGATGTCATCTCAGGGATTATTTTCTCAGTTGAAACAAACCAAGGATCCCACTGTGTTGAGACAACTTAATCAGTACGTTAGGTTCAACACGAGACTTGCTGTAGCGAAGGCGACGGTGCAGTTTCTGGATGAATGCCTTTTGCGTAGTGAATATCCCAAACACTTTTGGAAGATTCTCAGACGTAACGGAGTTAAGCCAACGAGCACTGCTTTGAAGCGTCACACTCTGAACAAGCGAGACACTGTGGTTTCTCGGATTGATGAGCTTGACCACAAGCGGTGTAGCTACTCCGATGCACTGAGTGAATTGGACCATGAGGAATACAAACAGTTCGAATCATTCGTTCAGCGAATTATGGCTCGGCAAGTGGAAGTGCGAATAGCCTCATTACGGCGACAAATCGCTTCAATAACGCAGAGTAACTCGTTTCCACCTGACCCTGAGAAGTACGTGCACAATTTCTCCTCTTTGCAATTAGATAGAACACAAATGGAGGTCCTCTCACTAGGCCCGAAATTCTGTTACCCCAGAGGTAATGTACAACAGTTAGACTTGGAAGTCCAATTTGAAAATCTCTATTCTCAAGTTTCTACCTTAACACCATCATCAGCATTAGCAGCCGAACAGTATAAATCCACATTGGTAAACACATGCTACCAGTACCTGAGATACAAACCGACCATCAAATATCTTCTAAAGAACAGGCATTTGGACGCTCTGAAGGAACTCAAGAAAAACGAGGATGTTTTGTTGTCTAGACCGGACAAAGGAGCCGGGATTGTATTGATGAACAAGTCAGATTATATTGATAAGATGAACACCATCCTAAGAGACGCATCGAAATTTCGAAAAGTGCAAAACGAGAAAGACAGGACGCCGGCGATTGAGAAGACCATGACAAGACTTTTGCGGCGTTTGAAACAAAATAACATCATAGACTCTGACACTTTTGAATACGCCAGACCTAGTGGAACCGTGATTCCGAGACTTTATGGCTTACCTAAGATCCACAAGCAAGGTGTACCGTTGAGACCGATACTGGACATGTACAACTCTCCCTATCATCTGACTGCTAAGTGGCTTGTTAAACGCCTCGAGCCGGTCAGGAAAGCCATATCTAGGTACAGCCTCCGGGACACTTTCGAATTTCTTGACTCGGTGCAACAACTAAATCTAGCTGGACGGAAGATGTTCTCACTAGATGTGACGTCACTTTTCACCAACGTCCCGTTAGAAGAGACCATTGACTATCTCTGCGAGTTTATCCAATTGCACAACTTCAACATCGGTATTCCAAATGACTGTTTAAGGCAACTTATATTGGCGTGCACTAAGAACATTCAGTTTCAGTTCAATGAGACGTTTTACAGACAAATAGACGGGGTAGCTATGGGTTCACCATTAGGACCGCTACTCGCCGATGTCTTCATGAGTAAGTTGGAGAACACTCAGCTAAACGAATGTATCAACAACTTGGTTTACTACGGTCGATACGTAGATGACATATTTTGTGTTGCGGATGATCGAGTATGCATCGAAGATCTGTTAGCCCACTTCAACGCTGCACATAACAACATAGTGTTCACCATAGAACTTGAAAGTAACAACTCGTTGTCATTCTTAGATGTCCACATCACCAGAACATCAGACGGGACAGTACAAAGGAGAGTACATAGAAAGACAACTTGGACCGGTCAATATACTCATTTCGCCAGCTTTGTTCCAATGAGTCAAAAACGCAACCTGGTCCGTTGTCTAACGGAAAGAGCGAGGAAAATATGCACGGAAGATACGCTGTCAGATGAACTGAGTTTTATTCGAAGCGTTCTCGAACAAAATGGTTATCCGGACAAATTCATCCGGAGACACATGGAGCCACGAGCACCTAAAGTCCAACCAATCACCGCTGAAAAGCGCTTAATCTACTTATCACTGCCTTTCAAAGGTGATGTGATAGCAGAACGAACTACTCGAAGGCTCTGCAATGCAACAGCGAGAACGTACTTTGCAGCTGACCTCCGCGTCAGCTTCACTTCTACGCCAGTCGTGAGTCAGCATCTCAAGGACAGATTGCCGAGGTCGAATATTTCCTTCTGTGTGTATCATTTTTCTTGCTCGTGTCGAGCAAGTTATATTGGAAAGACGACCAGGAGACTGTCTGAGAGAGTGCGAGAACATTGCCCGGCGTGGCTCTACACTGGTGTCAGAAAGACAGTAGTCAGCGCGGTGCTGGGGCATTTGGCCGACACAAATCACCAAGTGAATGTGCGAGAGGCCTTCCGGCCTATCTACAGGATATCTGGACGCCACACGCGAGCCCTCCGATGTCGCCTATTGGCGACAGCGGAAGCAATCGCTATTCGGCTCCATAATCCCGAATTGTGTGCCCAAAAGAAGTTTGTACATGCTCTACAGCTGCCATGGCCTCAAGCTTCCCCATGTTACGACACCACGCCTGACCCTTCCACTAACGATGCCCAAGCCAGTGTGGTCACTTGATCGCATTAACCGGTCAATTCACTTCATTGATTCATTGTATTTAAATACCCTGTGTTTGATTTATTCCTATCATCTGTGGTGTGTTGGCCTGATGCGATCCACCGAAAACAAGATATCGAACTGCCAGCAAGCCCTTCGATACTTGATCTTGTGCTCATTAACGATGAAATCATGGTGGACGGCATAATTACAGGCACGCCACTGGGTCGAAGTGACTGTATATATATTATATATATTTGCAACAGTCTATGAATAGACATTGCACCATCGGAAACCATGGAACTCAAAACAAGGTACAGAAATAGTAAAAGAAAACACAACACAACACAACAATGTCCACGGTTTCGTCAGAGGGCGAAATACTACCCGGTTGCCCAAGCCGAAGTAGGGGTGTTGACTTAGGGGACACCACCCCGAGCCTTTGGCTGAATAGCCTGTCCGCAAGGCAGCGGAGCGAATTCAGGGAATCGCGCCCATTGGGAGCCGGTGACTGATTGATCAGTTCATGCGCCTTTCGTTTGTTCCTTTGCAAACAGGGGCCCAATGCTCCCCGAAATTACAGCATCAACTTGCTGGAATACAATGCTTCGCCAGGATGAAGCAAGGGGCAGTGACTTTATTTAGTGGCGAGTCACGTCCGCCACGTCACAGTGTTGTTAAACGGACATATGTGGCTTTTTATAGGGAGAACGCTTGCCAGGCGAAAACCCACCACGTCCTGAAACACTGCCGCCGAACCATTTGCTGGAACGGGAAAATCCCGAACCACCCAGCTGACACCACGAGGAGGTTGTTCGGCAAGCCAGCCCGAAGTGACTGTGACTCTAATGTTTAACTATGTATGCTTTGCGGAATATCCTGAGGAACAGGGCAGTAAAGTATGTACGGTCAAGCACCGCAACGTGCTATTCGCGCTTGGTAAGGAGGTATCTTGGACCTTATTAACGGAAAGCCCAGCAGAAATCGCCGGGGAACTTTCACAAGGAAATTCACCACACTGGTAACGCACGCGTCTGAGCAGAAATCCGTCCATCACCAAAGGAGAAGGAAGTCATTTCTGAGGAGCAAAACACGGAAATGCATGTCCTTGAGAGACTTAGCATGGAGAGCTCACAAGGAATCCTCGAATTCAGTAACCTGGACTGCCTATGTGGCACAGCGTAACTTCTGTCAGTGTGATCCTCGAGGACAAGCTGACGCATCAGCAGGAGTTAATGAAGAGATTCTGCACGAACCGCAAACTCTTCTACAGGCATGTTAATGGCCTACGTAAGGTGCAACGCGGAATTCCAGCACTAATCACGACTGACGGATGCACGCGATCAGCAACGGAAGCAGCCGATCGCTTACGGTTCCATTACTCACAAACGTTCCAGAGAGTAACAGGCCCGGCGGTTATCCTTGTTTCTATTGTCCCACCGTCAGACTTATCCAATATTACTTTCACTGCGGAAGTGTGTCAAATAAACTGTTGGCTCTGCATATCCACAGCTCTCCTGGTGTAGATAACTTGCAGTTGTTTTGTCGAGACTTCCACTGTCCAACAAAGGGGAAAACGAGGACTTAGAGGAGGTAAAAATGATATCGCAGATCTCAGACGGAACACATGCAATAACATTTGACCTGCTACGAGAGAACATTGACCAAGTCCCTGTCCTAGCGAAGCTTCGGGAGTACATATCCACTTCATGGCCCAGTGGTCCCAAGATCCAACCGGAGTTACTTCCATACTATACCCTAGGGCATGAGATTTCTACTGTGAGCAACTACATCATTACAGACGAGCAGATTGTGATCCCTACAACCCTTATTTCTCTGGTGGTTGCATGTGCACATGAAGGTCATTCAGTGATTGCGCGAACAAAAGCTCGGATAGGACAATACTATTGGTGGTCGAAGTTGAATTCCAGCGTCGAGGCGGTTATTCGGGAATGTTACGTCTGTCAACAATCCGATAAGAGTGCGAGGCCCCTGAATGCTCCACTCAAACCTATCGTGTACCCAATGAAGCCATGGGCGAAAATTGCCATTGATATTATGGGCCCGTTTGCCAATGCACCTCCGCTGAAGCGAAAGGTGCTAGTGGCTACATGTTTCTACAGCAAATGGCCAGAGGCTATTCTATGCAGGGACGTAACTACAGTCGTCATCATAAAGTGGCTCCGCTGTTTGTTTGCAAGGTACGGTTTGCCAGAACAAATAGTCCCTGATAACAGCCCACAGTTTTGAAGTAACGAGTATGCTGAATTTCTAAGGCGCAATGGTATCAGACACACGAGGACTGTACCTTATAATCCTGCAGCGAATGGACTCGTCGAATGACTTAATCGTACTTTGAAAGAATCTCTACAAGTCCTACGGCTTCCAGGAGAATCCTGGGATGATGCTTCGGTATCTGAATTGGAAGTATACAGAAGCACTCCACATACTGCAACGGCGACGACCCCCTCGGAGCTAATGCAAGCGCGAACAATTCGAATTCGATTAAATGCAGTCTTTACATCCGAAGAAACCGCCGATCACAGAGAATACGAAATACCAGTTGTTTATCAGGCTAAATATAGACGCGTTGGGAGAACATATCCTTAAGGGACATTTGTTCGTGTGAGACTACCCTATTCCCCGAAAGGAGGTAATGTGTTCGGACCGCTGACCCGTGTGGAATCTGTGTGCACACCAGGAACTTACAAGTTGGCTGATGGGACAAAGTTAATTGCAAGTGGGCTGCATACTGTGCTTTCCCAACGTGCTATTGAACAGACGAATACACCTACAACACAGCGCGCGGTGCAAACTAATACAAACTTACGACGTTCCGGTCGGATGCGCTGCGATGTCAACCGATAGCATTAACGGATAACACCACATGACAATTCGTCGGGGTGCGGGAAGAAAATTAGAACTGTGGTGTGACGTATTGCAATCTAGTTGTTAACCATTACAATTCATAAAGCGTTAGTTAATCCATGAAACGAGATCGAGAGATAACGGTTCACAAGAAACAGGTGTTCATTGAGTTACCTTTCAAAGGTGACCGCAACATGCAAGTCACTGCTAAAAGAATAACCGCCTCAATGAAAAGACACAATGAAGCAGAGCTAGGCTTGTTGGTGACCACAAGACCAATAGTTGAGTGTTCAGTGAAGACGCCGGTGTCGAAGCAATGTACGTCCCACTGCCTACACAAATTCACTTGTAGCTGTGGAAAAAGCTACCTTGGGGGCACTACCCGAAAATCCGGTGCTCGAATCAATGAACACATACCAAAGTGGCTCCGCAAACGGATGGAAAATGTGACAATCGCACGCGGTGAATGGAGAAGCAAATTTGTTTCTGCAATAACGAGACACTTGATGAGCACCGGTCATCAAGTGAACCTAGATGAGTCATTTACAGTCCTCATGCGCAGTCAAAGACCTCACATACTCAAGCTACTGGAGACCATTGTGATCCATCGGCAGCGCCCACCGCTGTGTCCAGGAACAGCTGACAGTGCCATTAAGCCTACCGTTGTAGCGTGTAACGCACCCATCGGAAAACACGGGATCTAGAATTGATTTTATGTGACCTTGTTTTTGCATTCATTTTTAGTTGCTGGTATAGTGGTTGAAGAGCATGCACGAAATGACAATTTCACCCCACAATCTTCGTATTCTGATATTCTTATTCAGTGCTATCTGTCTTTCTAAGGAACTAACCTCATTATCACTGCCTAGCACTCACCCATGTGTATCATCGCTGCGGACTTTCTGGTGTCATCCGACACTAGCAACGATTTGTACGTAGCGATGATCAACCACTCGGAAACACCTTAGATCGAGGCGGGAAAGTCTCACTCCCATACAGTAGGACGGCCCTCACTGTGGCCTTGTAAACAGTCTTTTAGATCGATGGACATACCTTTCTGATGCCACAACTGTGGAAAATTTAAGGAGGCAGTTCTAACTTTTGCAATAAGTGAACTTACTTAAGTGCTTATGTGCCCATCGTTGCTGCTGCAACTGACAAGGTAAGTGAATTGATCTATCTTGAGCTCTTCGCAATCAAGAGTCAATAAATCATCAAGTGGCTGGTGGTCCAACAGCAAGACTACTTTGTAAGTGCAAGGCGCATGCCAAATGACAGGACTACTCATGTGAGGATGTTCAGGGTTGATCGGGCTGCCTCAATATCGCTAAACAGCAAGACGATATCGTCTGCATAATCAAGATCAACTAGCTTCTCATCAGGCCACACCGTCTGTATTGTGAGATTCTACAGGTGAATACTCCATGATGCAGTCCACGAGGAAGTTAAGCAAAAATGGGGAAATTGGTCAACAATGAGGATAATTGTCAGAGTCGACGTAGGTATTCCAGAATGAGCGGTAATTCAGGATGAAACGACGCCCCATGTAACTTATGGCAAGGTGATCTATTCGGGTCCAGCGCTGACCAACTATAGGAGGATGCCAAATGGCACTTTGGCGCCCAAGGTGACTAAAAGCGGTTTTACTAAGAAACAGCCGGTGCTCGACACACAGTGGCAACAGACACCCGTCATTCTCCTTACGGTCGGACTTAAGTCCATACAAACCACCTAGCTGAGGGGCTGAAGAGCCCGAGGGACGTACTTGCGCATTCATATCCCCCGCAACAATAACTATATCTGAACCGCTAACATTGCGAAGCAGCGTGTCCAGTTCGTGGTAGAAGGCGTCCTTGGCAGCATCAGAATTACAGTCAGTAGAGGCATAAACGGAAATCACAAACAAATAGCATCTAGCACTACTTCATGAAGCAACCCTGTTCGATGTTGTCAAACGGGCTGCTCACAGGAATCAAATCAACCAACAATGACTCAGGCTTACATTGAGAGCGATGCCCACCCCATATTGATCAGTGTTTGGTGAATCAGTGTCTACAGATGCGTGCAGTCAATAGCGAGAGGAGAAACCGGGTGCAGTTAGTTTAAGTTAGTTGCTGACATGCAACACCTCAATATCCAGTGTCCAAGGTGCGTGCGAGTGCAGCCTGTTGACCTAGTTGCTTTATAGTAAGAACGTCGAACGCCGCCAGGGAGACGGGGTAGCGTGACCTTATAAGGGGCTGTTGCCAATAGGCGTCCAGTTGGTGGTGCGGGAAAGTAGCTACAGATGATATGATTCCCATGGCATTGCGGCTACTGTCAAATAAGCTGGGGATTATAGGATGTTAAAGAAACAAGTGAAAAAGAAAAGAGGCGCTAACAGTAGCATGTTTTCGCTTATTCACCCTGTTGTATGCAGCGGATAAGGCGACCACTGATAAGCTGCGCGATGGCCGGTGTAGAATGTGGATGAAGTCTGAGAAAGTAGTTATGGTTGTACGTGATGTGAGATATTGCCAAGATGCCCAGATCTAGACAGGAGGACGATTAGTGTTTTCAACCAAAGCCTGTCCGCAAGGCAGCAGAGAGGTAGCAATGGCTTGATTTGACAGAAATGGACGCCATGCCATTTCCAACCTGGAGGACTAGGAGACTGAATTTGTCTGACCTCTAGCCATTGACCGACCTGGTAGGAGTAGCTCTAAAGGGGCTCGGGGGCACCACCCAGTATGGCTAAAGGGGTCAAAGAGATATGCAAACCGTCGCACTACGTAAGCTCTAGTCTCGTTGCAACAGGTGAACCGATCCACCACTTCCAGTCCCTTTTCACCGAAAGCCACTGAGTTCGGCTCCGAGTCAAGTCAACAAGTGTAATCAGCCAAACGTGTTCATCGTCCTTCGGTCCCCAACCATGGAGCTGAAAGTCTCCAACCGAGGCCAACGTCAAAGTAAGGACTTTCATTCCTCTTGACCAAGTTATCGGTTGGCCACCCCTCCTCTTCTTCCATCTGCATCTCAGGCGCGCAAATAACGCACGTCGCGGGAGTCGGTGGGTTGGCACGCGCAACACGTGGCCCAACTATCGGAGCCTGGTGCGTTATAACGGTACTAAGCGGTTCATTCGCTCTTCTTGCCGAACATGCTCATTGCTCAGGTGATGTTTCCAGCAAAGATGAGCTAGACTATACAACCACGCGATGGGTACCATGTGGGATGACGCAGAGCACTGTGTGCGTTCTCGCGTTAGCCAAGTACGTTTTACGGGGATGAGACGATGTGTCACTTGCTTTCATTGTCGACGAGCAGCTGCCCAAATCGGTCGACGGATTTACCCAAGCTAATGAATTGCTAACTTTTAGCGGTCAAATTTCCGATTGACATAATGAGTGCATCGGAAAGACCCATGTGGGTTCTCCAAGTGTTGATCACTTGTGAAAATTCCTGGATAACAGTATACTGGATGGCCAATGCTGTGGTGCAGACAGCTTTAAATGACAGATCAAAGAGGTCGCCACCGCACGTCAAGAACAAAAAGATATCTACTAAAGGCTCCCGAGTGAAGAGTGCTGAGGTCGGTTCATCAACCAGTGCCTGGTGCCTAATTTGACCAGCTGTTTGGGTTGAACACGGTAAACCGATTATGTCACATTCGACGCATACTCGTCTATCTCACGCCTCGGTGTGTTTCCTCCTTATAATAAGTTCGCTATAATGAAGCCCCGAGATGCTTGTCGGTTCGTAGCCTAGAGGTAACGAGCTTGTCTCGTAACATTGCGGCGCGGGGTCGAATCCGCGTAGGGGTGGACGTCCTCGCGGTATATCTAGCTCGCGTGTGACCGGCGGTGGTCGCACGGCAGCGAACACCATTACGGCGTACAGCTGACACATTATTATTATTGTGGCGGCGATGCGAGCGAACATTGCTAAACCCGTGATTTCAACAGTTACAAGAGCATATTTGGCTACATATAAACAGGAACAAAATATCGGTCATCAAGTGGAATGTGACACGATGTCTCCTTCTGAAATGAACCTGAGTCAGTACCGGTCGCGAAGCATACAGCTAGCTCGATATGCACGGCAAAGAACTTCCAGAATGAACATGAGGGGGAGAAGATTGGGATTACGTTCCGGACAAAACCATTGGAATTAAGAAAGGAAGTCCGAAGCCGAGGTTCAATCGCCTAAGGGGTTAAAATCAAATCATACTTGGTAAAACTGAAGAACACAGTGTAGAAGATAGGATTCCTTCGCGGTAATGCACATTTCAGACTCGGTGAAAATGTTACAGGTGAAAAGTAATATCCGCATCGAAGCTTAAGTCACCAGATACAAACACATTGAAATGAATCAAGACCACCAACGGTAGGTGGTCAGGTGGGTTACAGAACAAAGGATTGATCATACGCTTTGGTAAAAATGAAGCTGAACAAAACAGAAGATGCGCGATTACAAGAGACCAACATAAGGGAGGTGACATAGGGCGTTGAAGTGGTCAATTAGAGCTAATCTAGTCACAAATGTCACTGGCATGGAAAAGCTAGTGGCTTCAATTCGATGAAGCAACTGCAGCACAGTAAGGTTTAAATACACAATTTTTATCTGCCAGTTCTCTTTTTGGATACTCACAACATGCATAAGGAATCAGTACTGGACACATTGGCCTCACGGCATGAGAACAAAGCGTGGTACGAATTTAGTTAGACGCATCTGGAAAGTAGCAACGGCATGCCAGAATCTCGGACCGATGTCTCCCTGCCATGCTAGATTCAAAGATCGCGTTCAGCGACTGACGGATGCTACGGGATCATACCTGTACAGCTACACAGGCTCGAACTGCTAACGGTTATAGTTCACAAGCCAGACGTCTGAAGTATTTCGCCGATCACCAAACATACGCTTTAGTATACACTAGAAAGCAACAGAAATACATGAATGTTAGTAATTGCCCCGCCACATATGGGTTGTCATGAAAAACTGGTCTTGACGTAAAGAAGAATAGTATGTTGCAAAATATGAGCAGAATTACTGGCTGTACAGAAACACGATTGCACTAGTTTTAAAGAACAATGACTTTTGTCCAAACAACAATTGTTAGAAAAGAAAGAGAAAAAGATGAATGAAAGACAGTGTGTGGTCTAAGGAGAGGAAACGGATTGCGTAGAACTCTATGAAGAGGAAGAAGATAGGTTTGTCTGAGAGAAACAAACAGCATAGAAAAAATGTCCACAGCTGGATGCATAGTCAACGACATGGCATGGGGAAATGCGAATTCGAGTAAGAGTTAAAAAAAAAATGTAAAATGCGTCAACCTCACTAGAAAGGGGCTGAGGAGTGAGCAACAGGCGAAGGTGCAACCGAATGACCACAAGATCACTGGAAATAAATGCACAGCTATCGGCCGCACGGTGGCTACAGTTGAATGGGAGCGACAACTGCATTGTTGAGGGATTGGGGGTCAATGTTGGACACTGTCTGGATGTTGGCGTTGTTAGCGTCAGATCGTTTAGAGGAAGATGGATCACATCGCGAGCTTGCAGGTGTGTGAGACCCACTGGAGCCAGTGCGGACAAAATCGTTTGAGCGGTGATACCTGTGGCGATGTTGTCGATGAGAAGGAGCTGTAGTGCGTCGGTAGCCACCAGGGTTACCTTGTGAATTGAGAATCGGGTGAGAAAACGGAAAGTGTGCCGATGAATCGTTCGATTGAAGGCGCTGAGCACACCTGGCTCGGCCACGAGAGCTACCTCCACTCCCGGTAGTCGTAGATCCAGCGCCCATAACGCCACTAGCGCAGGAACTGGAGCGAAGTTTATCGCTGGCGTCGTTTGCGTAGGGCGGAATTAACTCACCAAGATAAACGATTCCGCCGTTTGAAATGAGATCCCCACCAGTTTGGGATATGGTTTCCACCGGAGTGTTAGTGTGAAGAGCAGAGTTGCCTCCACCACTCAGTTGCGGACCATATAACATTCCTATGGAGCCTGCAGTACGCAATTCAGCACCACTACCGTTGTCTGCGCTACCACCAACGTCCGCGCTCGTAAAAGCCACATATCCTGAGTTGCTTGCAGCTCTAGAGCCTGATAAGCATGCAGATCCATGAATTCCAAGCGTAACTGGACCCGTGATCCCAACGCTCGTTCCAGTGCGACTGCTACTTGCTGTCACACTACTGGCTGGGGGCACCGCGCAAGCGCCGTAAGGAGGTGGAGTGTAGCAACAGCGTTCTGTGGATGATTGATCTGGAAAAAGTTGAAAAACATTTTGGCATATCAGATAAGGAACATTTGAAAGATGGTCGGAAACCGTATAAAGAAAGGGTAAACGTGATCGAAATGACCATTCATTCCACAAGAACTTGGTGAGATCGCGAGTGCCGCGTCGAAAACGCAGCAACACAAAGGGAGAAGTAGGGCCGGCAGATAGGATGAAAATATATTACTGCTAATATTTTGAGTAGTTACAAACGCGTAGATAAAAGTGCCGATATGTACACACACGAGCAGCGTACCACAGGGCCTAAGGTTAGGCGGTAGAGAGAAAGGAGGCATCGTAGATGGCATCCAATACGGTTGGGCCTTAAGTAGTAATTAGCGTTGTCGAACCACGGAGTAACATACCAAGATGACAGTGTTAGCTGTACCAGTGGATAGGTCTAACGAGGCGGTATCAATGTTAGACAGCTGCACAGTATGCAGAATTCACTGTAAGGCAGTAAATGGAAGTATTACTAAGAAAACACCAAATGATAACAAAGCCGATGTTGCTAGAGGCAAATGAATCTCGACGTGCGCCATGAATCGCTCAAACGCCAAGTAGCCTTGGGAAGCCCACTGAAGCAGCGCTGGTAATAATGGGAAAAACAGGTTGAGGTCTCACCTTGAAGGTAGGTCCCTGGGCTACTGGACGTGCCGAGCGCCGGAATCGATGAGGACACACACAGTGCCGGATAGGCAGAATGAGGTTGGACATGATGAACACTCATGGTTGGGAGGGCACCGCCTCTAGCTGTACCACGCGGCTGGGACGGTGGTTGCACCGTAGAGTTCGTGGATCTAGATGGTCCAGTTGAGTAACACATTGCGGAAGACGGTACCTTGGGTTCATGAAGATGAGAGTGTATGGACGATAGGTCATTCTGGGCCTCAAAACGTAGTTTCTGATCGCTAAACTGCGGAGGCACGGCCCCAAAGCCGTAGTAGTGCTGGGATAAAGCTGACTGAGGGTAGGGAGAAAATGAAAATTGGTGACTTCCGTTCGACAAAAAACGCAAGTTCCCACGACTAGTTGGTGAGGCTGCAGTGCCCGTCGTGGAAGCCCACGCGGATCCAGGATACTGAAGATTCGAGATAAAAGGGCCAAAAGCACGTGAATAGGGACCGGTATGTGTAGACGGTTTGCAACAGCGGTTGCAACAGCAAATCACTGCACCAATACACACAGTGAAAGTAATGATTGCGCTCACGGCGACAGCAATAGAAGCCGGAATACCCAGTGATAGGAAACCGGATAGCCAACCGTTTGATGGTGTATCTCCATCCGTCCACCAGTTTGAGCTCTTGGAACCTGTGAATAGTGAAATCAAAATGAAGCGGTGTTCACACGGGTAGAACAACAGGGAGAACGATACGGGGTGTTGGACAGCTCACAGTACGAAGAGTATAAATAGCCAACTTTAATTCGTTTATAAAAGTGATAATTTTCACTGCCGATTGACAGACTTTCTAAAATATTATTTAGGTGTATCCATCCTAGTTGCCAAGTGAAAAGGATCAGGTTAGGTAGCCATGGGTGACCTAGATGTCGTTATCGATCGCTGGTCTCCGATAAGAGAAGTGAGGGAAGACTCAGGCCTTGGATGAATGAAGAGGTTTAGCATTTTAACGATCTCGGGGTCCACATATATCGAATATTGCAGAGGAGCTAAATGGCGAAGCTCGACTTGTGGTTTACGGAGCTCAAGCAGGGATTTAAGGAGGGTGTTGCTGGCCTAATGCTAAGGACCATCGCCGCGAGAGAACAACCAATGTGGGTCAGAAAAATCGATTGAGTGAGCAAGCCGCTTTCCACCTGCCCCTGTTTGTATACAGCAGGTGAGATGACATCATTGGGATTGCGTGACACATGATGTAACTCAATGAAGCGACGGTTGGTGTACAGCATAAAAATGTGCGCGCTGAAATACTCCGTGTAATCCAAACGAAGGAGCAAATGGGCCAACAGCCAAAACCAAATTGGCGAAAATGTATCCAATGGACGGAAGAATTGTGCATTTTTAGGGCATGGGTGCAATCAATTTGATAGAATGTCACATTATGAGTTATGCCAGGATGCCACATCCCAAAGCAGTTGTGGATAGGTACATAACAGACATCGCTCTCGTTTGCAGATTGATTGAACTACCGATGAAGTGATCCACATTCAGAAGTCGGTATGCCATGAAGATGAAAAAGTCAGAGAAACCAAATAAAGACGTGCTCAAAGAACAGACTGATAAAAAGGAGTGCAGACGGCGCCGATGAAATGGACTGATCGAATGTAAGTGCGATGTGTGTGGAAGCAAAAACGGACACAAACCAGGACGAATAAATTGACGCGGTGCTGGCTGGTTATAGAACAGATTTGAAAGGCAAAGGGATAGCAAAGATCACTCCGACTGGTCACCGCCTTGAGCACAACAATCGAAAGTAAGACAGTTCAAGAGTAAGTTCAGGTATCCGCTTTTCTGTCTCACATAACGAACATACGGTCCAAATACAATATGACATCACACAGCGAAGACCACACCAAAAGAGCACAGAAGAAACTGGACATCAATCAGAAACAGGGGGACAGAGCAAGACGGGAACCGTTTTCGTTGGATATGGACACGCGTGGCTAACAACATTCAAATGTGGCCCTCTACTGTCGGTATTGAAGAGAAGATCAGAGCAAAGATCAAAGCAAAGATGCGGGCACAGGTATATAAAACGAGTCAGGGAAGGTAAGGAGGAACTACAAGAAGCAGTGGTCAATGAAGTACTTCCACCGATTGCTCAGCATCACCGCCACCATGAATCTAATGGAGGATGTGAAGTAGAACGAAACATAAAACTTGCTGCATTGCAAAGAAAGAAGTGGACAGCATTCAAAGCCTGGTAGATAGGAAATGTCGTTTTTGGTTTTGGAGTAGTCGACGAGAGAAGAGCGCACTATATTGTCCCAGTGTGGATTATCCGCAACTCGAATCGATGGATACGAGCAGCGAAGAACGACCATATTCAAGCAGAGGGTAAATGAAACTAGTCAACTTCACCCAAGTCGGTGAGCTGGAAGTATACCGAGATGGTTTGGTAAGACTCTTCTGTCCGCTTCTCATTTCTGTTAAAGATTGCAAGAACAGGTTATCAACAAAGGAGAAATCATCATGAGGTGAAATGTAGTGGGCACCGTTCTGTCATCAGTTACTCGTTTTCAACACAGCATTGGTCGCTTGATGGGGAAGGCGCGTCCCTGTATCGTCATCTACCAAGCAGCTGGAGCAATCCCAAGAAAGGGTTGATGAGTAGGGTGGAAAATTGCGACTGTGGGTCCAGTAGCTTCAAAATCAGTGATGTCGAGAACTGACTTGACTTGTCTTGAATGTACATGGATAGGAACACAACAGACGAGCGTGATTCGTTTCAATCTCAGCGAATGGGTAGGGTGCGGCAGTAGGCAAAGGAGTCCGAGGAATAACGGAACCCTAGATACGTGAAAAAGCTTCGTGAGCAAAAGCATTATCATCACCACCACCAACACACATTAGCCGGGCCTGAGAAACACACCACAGCTAATGTGCCGCAATACAAAAAATATAAGACATTGAGCAATGTAGAATTAAAGGTTATAAAAAAGTAACATAATGCTAATATCATATTTGTGATTGCTGTTGGAGAGGGAAGCTAAAGGGAAGCAGAGGGACAAGGAAACTCACAACACAAACGCCAGTGAGGTCGGCTCCTTGACAGGTCAACCGGTGTATCTAACCAAACGAGTTCATCATCCTTCGGTCCCCAGCTCTGCAGTCGGAATTCACCAACCGACGTCAACTTCGAAGTAAGGGACTCCACTCCTCTTGGCCAAATCATCGCTTGGCTTCCCATCCTCTTTTACCATCTACACCCCCGGCGCGCAAACAACGCACGGCGCAGGAGTCGGTGTGCTGGCATGTGCAACACGTGGCCCAGCCATCGGAGCCTGACGAGTGACATAACGGCGCTGGGCGGTGCACTCGATCATCCTGCATCAAATATGCGGCGCCGAATACGCTCATTGCGCACGCGGTGCTACCACCAGACATGAGCTAAGCTGTGAAGGCACCGATGATCGGAAGAAACTAGCCTCTTTATGTCTGTCGACTTAATGAGCCAAGTTACACAACAGTACAGGAGGGCTGTACGAACGGCTGCATTGTAAACTCTGCCCTTCAGAGCGAAAGTAATGTCACATCTGAGCCAAAAGTGGCGATTGGCAAAAGCCCATCGAGCTTTTGCTATACGATTCGTAATTTTATGTTCCGGTCCACTGGCGTTGAGATAGCTGCCTCTATGGTTGCCGCATTCGGAACGGGAGCTTCCCATGAAAATTGGAACTATTACGGAGCGCCTCCAGTCTGTCCGGACAGTCTCCTGCTCCCATTGATTCACTAATAACTTGTGTAAATTGTCAAAAAGAGCACATCCCCAAATTTGAAGAGGGCTGGATGAAGTCCAGCTGCTCCGACGGTCTTGTTCAATTTCAGCTGTCTGATCTCACGTTCGATTGCTGTGCATTAGGGCGCATCCAAGGGGACGGCCCAAGGAGTAGGGCGCAAATTGGCGGATGGAGAAACTGACAACTCTGATTGATTGAACTTCTCAAAGTGTTCGGCCCAACGTTACAAGCATTTTGACAAGTTATGGATTGATCATCCATTCTCATGGCATATGGTCTCACTAACACAAGGCTTCCTGCTGCCCGTTTCTCATATCAGACGGAATAACTACTGAGAGTTACCTACGGCTGTTGTGTCTACACGTACACTAGTCCCCTGCACGCAGGGTCTTGAACAAGCACGATCAAAGCCCCGAACGAGGAAGCAGAACTCTACTGGTACGCAACACAAACTTCTATTCACGCCAACGGTACATACACTCAGTACATTCAAAACAACCCTGGTATTGATCGCGAACGGACGGGCATCCAATCACAAGCTATGAAGTGCGGTCGTGGTAAGGCCCGCGCGTACGCGCTGCCACACTACTCCCCCGCTTCAGCGGTTGGTTCACTGCGGTGGTCCTCGCTTCAGGACACTGCTTCGGTTGAAGTGCTGAATATAGCTGTCTGGCGTTGACTCGTCGGCCGTCTGCTAACTCATAAGTTCCTGGCCCTAGCGCACGAGTAATTCTGATGGGTCTCGTCAGTGCCGGTTCTCCTTTCCGTGTTTGCCTCTCATTTATCCTGACCAACGTTCCAGGACGCAGCAATGTGGCCCGTTTTTCGTAGGATGACTGATAACTCCGGCGACGTTCCAGTTGGTGGGGGTCGTTGTTTTCTGCAGCCGAAATAGCTGCGTTTAATTTCGTACGCAACTTCCTGCCAAACATCAGCTCACCTGGCGTGCGATCAGTCGTTTTGTGGTGCGATGTTCGGTGAGTAAACAGAGCCTCGAAAACGGCATCTTCCCACTGCCTGCCGGACAAACGTGCTGTCTGTATAGTTTCCTTTGGCGTGCGATTAGTGCGCTCAACCATGCCGTTGGCAGCTGGGTTGTACGGGACAGTATGTACGTGCTTCACATCACGAAGTTGTAAGAAACGTTTAAACTCATAGTTCGTGAATTGTGGTCCGTTGTCTGTCACAATTTCCTCAGGAAACCCAAAGCTAGCAAACAGATGTTTCAGCCACCGTATAACGAGTGAGGTGGTCACATCGCCACACAAATGGATTTCCGGCCACTTACTGTAATAGCACGTGGCAACTAAGCAGTTCCTCTGGTGCTGTGGCGCAGAATGAAACGGTCCCATGATGTCAATCGCCACCTTCGACCAAGGTTTCATTGGATAAGTAACAGGTTGGATGGGGGCATCGATTGGTTTGGAGCTCTTGTCGGCCTTCTGACATGCATCGCAAGACCGGACACACGCCTCTGCCATTTTATTCATTTTTGGCCACCAAAAGTATTCTTGAAGTCGGCGCTTCGTCCGTACGATACCCGGATGTCCCTCGTGTGCACATTGGATAATTTTTGATGTCAGTTTCTGTGGAGCTACGAATCGCGATCCTTGCATAAGGCAATCATCAACGACTGCTAGCTCATGTCGTAAAACATAAAACGCCCGTAGTTCACCACTCAACTTCGCGTAGCGAGGCCAGCCTTGAGAGAGATAGTGAATGACATCTTGCACATATGAGTCACTCCGGTTAGCTTCTTGAAGCTCTTGTTTAGTAACCGCGGAGAGCTCACTTGATTGTAAAGCAGAAATCATGACTTTTTCTTCGTCGTCTTCATTCTTGTCGGAATCATCCAATGGGAGACGTAATAAGCTATCTGCCATACGGTTCTCGGAGCAAGGGCAGAAGATGATTTGAAAATCATAGTTCAGTAACCGCGCATACCAGCGGTTAATCCGTAGTGGCCTGTGACTATTGGTTCCTCGGCTGAGGAGGGTAGTTAGAGCAGCATGATCCGTGCGCAATGTAAATCTCCGACCAAACAGAAACAGGTGCCATTTTTCACAGGCCCATACACAGGCAAGGGCCTCCCTTTCACCTGCGGAATATGAAACTTCAGTAGGGGACAACTTTCTAGAAGCATATGCAATCACTTTTTCCTCACCGTTCTGAATTTGAGACAAGACCGCTCCTAAACGGATGTTTCACGCATCCGTTGAGACGAATGTTGGGCAGTTTTCGTCGAAAATGGCCAGCATTGGGGTGGAGACGAGGCGTCTTTTAATTTCTTCAAAGGCCGACTGCTGCGAAGAGCCCCAATCTAACGTAGCTTTTTCTTTTGTCAGCATTCTCAATGGCTCCGCTATAGTTGCAAAATCGAGCAAATAGCGCAAGTTGTACGAACATAAACCAAGAAAGTGCTTAACCTCGGATGTATTCTTCGGTACAGGGGCTTCCGTGATAGTTCGAGTATTAGCTGCGCATGGCCTAATTCCACCAGCTGATAAGACGTACCCAAGAAACTCGACATCCGTAGCACAAAATATACACTTTTCCAGGTTTAGCCGAAGACCTAGGCTCTCCAATCGCTGCAACACAGCGCGCAGCCTTGAGTCGTGCTCATCTCTTGATTTCCCGAAAACGCATATATCATCCATGTAAGCGATTTGCCCCGGTAGATCTGCTAGTGAGTGATTCATAAACTTCTGTCAAGCTGCTGGAGCGGAGCTAAGTCCCAACGGCAAGACTTTGTACTGGAATAGACCACTCGATGTCAGAAAAGCCGTAAGTGGTCTGGGTTCTGGTGTCAATGGCATATGGAAAAGGCCTTCCTCAGGTCTAGTTTTGAGAAAAATCGCGCGCCAGTCATCTTGACCAACAGCTCGTCAACTGTGGGAAGAACGAATTTTTCGACGACGATCTGACTGTTCAACGCTTTCAAGTCGTTGCATATGCGCACAGTACCGTCCTTCTTTAATACCGTGACCATGGGATGCACCCATTCGGAACAGTTAACTGGCTCTATCAAACCGTTGGAAATCATTTCTTGTATGGCCTTTTCTACCATCGCACGTTTGGCCAATGGAATAGGACGTGGCTGCGAAATCGAAAACGGTTTAGCGTCCTTTTTAAGGCATATTCGATGAGCAGCAGATGGAATCCGGCCAATCGACTCAGTAAATAATTTGTGATATAAGCTTTTAAGTACTGATGTTTTGAGTGTCATGATGTGCATTCGCTCGATAGATGGTGTTATGTTGAGGGCAACAATAGCATTTCGCCCCAGCAAGGCTGGACTGTCTTCCGAGGTAACATACACAGCAACATCAGATGCGACTGAGAGTAAACTGAGTTTCGTCATTATATATCCCCGAATTTGCACACGTGAATTTGTGTACGATTCGAATTTATACGACGTAGGATGTAATGGAATGTCTTGCAGGTAATTGTCGTAAATGCTGGACGGGATAATTGTTATCGGCGATGCCGAGTCTAGCTTCATAGTCACTGGTACAGAGGTGTTAAGCATATGGAGTGTAACGGTACGTATGTCAGGAGCAGGGAGCTTGGGTTCCAGCGAAGCAATTCGTCGTGTTTCTGGTTGTAATCGTCTTCTGATAGAAAAAAACATTCGGTGTAGTCGGTGAGGTGGAAACCTCATTTTGTTGGTCAATTAACGCGACTCGACGAGAGCGGCAGCATCTGGCTAAGTGGCCCAGTTTACCACAGCTTTAACACTCAGCTGTACGAGCCGGATATGTTTGACAGTCAGCTTTGTGGCGAGAACTCCCTCATCTATAGCACGAAACAATCGAATTCTGAGGTTGACTGGAACCCTTATGCTGAATCTTACTGACTTCTAGTATATCACTCGACTTGAATAGGCTCGAATGTTCAACGGCGGCGATCTCTATGGCTCTCTCCCAGGTAAGTTTTGACGGATCTTCGGAAAGTAGCTTTTCGCGTATACGATTATCCTTTATACCGGTTATCAACTGCTGCGTCAGCATAACACTCTCAAGTGTATTCTTCGGGATGCTAGTGTAGTCACAGGTTTTTACAGACCGAATTAAACGAGCGACAAATTGTTCCAGCGGCTCTGCATCTTCTTGTCTCAAACAGCAGAACTTGTAGCGTTCAGCGAAAATGTTTGGCCGTGCACCCCATGACTGATCGAGTACATCCAATGCCTTTGTAAGTGTATCGAATTTCTGCAGATCTAACGCATCGAATAACGTTGACCTTCATTGCCCAACAGGTGACGAAGTAGTTTCAGTTTTTGCTTCTCATCGTAAGTAGTAGTTGTTGGGAGTAGGTCCAAGTAATTCGTGAAAGACGTTCTCCATTGGATCCAATCACTCTCCGTAGGTCTAGTAGCAGGATCGCACCAAAAGGCTTCTGGAGGTAGAAGGTGAAATGCCATTGTAATGGTCCACAGCCCGCGACGCCACTGTTGTGTCTAAACGTACACTAGTCCCCTGCACGCAGGGTCTTGAACAAGCACGACCAAAGCCCCGAACGAGGAAGCAGAACTCTACTGGTACGCAACACAAACTTCTATTCACGCCAACGGTACATACACTCAGTATATTCAAAACAACCCTGGTATTGATCGCGAACGGACGGGCATCCAATCACAAGCTATGAAGTGCGGTCGTGGTAAGGCCCGCGCGTACGCGCTGCCACAACGGCAGCGGGTGTTTCCATCTCGGAGGGCACGATATGACCACCACGCTTCACGGCCTCACTTCAGGCTAGCATGTAGCTTCGTCCTGAGAGCTTTGCATTAACAAATACCCCGAGGTTTAGAGATAAACGAATAACTAATTTGTTTCCGAATGTATCGAGGCACACTATATCAGGCATGATTGAAATTTTGCAGCAATATTGTTTCCTTATAGGTACATAGCTTTGCATACAATCGGTGCAGAAACGGGAAAGTACTAAGGAGAAACAACAGGATTAATGATGTAACGAAATTCTGAGGTCACGTATGTGTAATGTAGGGAGTAACAGTAAAGGCGTGAAAAGTGGCGACGGAATGTGTGGATAGGGAATTATCTATGTAGATGGGAGTATCGTGTGTATGAGACGGCCACCGATGTCGATGATGTGGCCGCAAAATGGTAAAGGATTAAAAAATCCGTAAAGCCGCCAACGAAATGATCGGCTAGGACAGATTCGGGTTGCAATGTGAATAGACGAGCAGCAGATTTAGAATAGCGATGACACTTTGCATCAACAACAGCAACGTATCGGTAATTTATACTGGTGCTTTACTATCCTAGTAGTATAAAGCGCTGCATGTGAACTGGCATTCTGCAAAGGATGACACAAATTCATGGGTTCAAAAGCTTATACGCAGTGTAATGTGCGGACCGGATAACGGTCCACAAGACGGATCATTTTCGCACAGGCGAACGTCATTTCAGGTCTAACTGATAGCACGGAGAACCAATAATTCACTAAACCTGTAAGAATAATGTTCAAAGTGACCACCACGGTGTATGAACGATGTGCTACTTGAGTGGGGAAACAACCTGACTAGGTATAATGCAGTGTCTTTGGTAAAGAAACAGGTAGGTAAGGCGAAACCCAACCTAAGTCGTAGACGCCGTACCGAGGAAAAGAGGTACAATCGAAGTAGAGTTAAACCGCTACAAATTGGTTGCGTATGAGCAAAACCCCAGGGACGCAAACCGAGCTCTGGCCAGAGGAAACAACAGGAGCAAGGGTGAACCTAAGCGTGAGGATAAGTGTGAGTAGTGATATATTTGTGTGATGCGTTGCCAAGCTGAGTTACGATGAAAAGCTACTGAGACCCAACACCGATGATATAACATACCTCCCTTCGCCTCACATCTATTCAAGGACTCGTCTCGAGCATCCGCACAGTTCACGATGCCATCACAGACCGCCTTTTCGGAGATGCAATAACCAATTCGAGAGGATGCGTCTCGATTGGATAACGCGGATCCAGAGAGAACTGTTGGAGGAACTGGGGAGCGCTGATCCGCAAATATGGACAACCCGGTGTTCAAAGGATGTGCCGGATGGCTTTGAGTCGGGCGTGAATCACAGTAGAAATGACCGGAGGGGCATGTGTGCGTGTCGGCTATAAATAGAAAGAAAGTTAGTGTAGAGTAATATCAGTCCATCGCATGGGCCATAGAGCGATTTAAACCGACGCGGAGAATTAACACCAGCTCGCGGAATCCACAAAGTACTCTTTAATTAAGCGTCCCAAAAAGGATGGGTCTAAACGGTTTCAAAACAGCTCCACTAATTATGTGTCTATTTTTAATGAAAGACAATAATTAAAACTTAAAGTGATAGGAAATGGAACCATCCCGCTCAATCACACATTTTTCTTATTTCCTTTTCTTGGTAGGCTGTGTGGATTTCCACCTATCCTTCGTCACTGCTACTTATTGGTTCAAGTCGACAAGAATCGCGGTTATTGAGTCCACCGCACTTCGGTGTGCACAATATAGCTGGTCAATTGATGTGAACCGCAAAAAAGGCACAGTTCCAAACAGGTGATCAACATACGGTCACCAGACGGAGTGAACAAAGAACATAGCTTAATTTACGAAGTAGCTTCACGTGACCAAAATTAGAGTCTAAATTGTGGGGGAAATCAGCAGCTTGTCCACAATCCACCACCGAGTCAAGTCAATTTTTCTGTTTTAGCGACCTATCAATTCGTTCCCACTTAACTGATGTCCCACTTTGTTTTGGGGCTTTATTGCTGCGCCCGACGTTTCATGTCGCATTTGGATCCCGAGAGAAGCGAGTTAACTCGACGCCCCTCTCTCAGTTGGTACCCTTGTTGTAGTGCAAAATGTCGTTTTTAGATTGCATTCATCTGCTACGTTACTGCTTCTTGTCTCGTCAGTCCAGGTCGACTAAGACTACTAGTATTTTGAACACCATAGATGCAAATATTTGATTAACAACCAATCACTTGCTTAGAGAAACAGAGGGGAATGGTACAGTGCAAGATAGCAGTGCAGCAACGAGAGCACAGAAGGAGGTTCGTTCTCATTGATCAAATCGTAGCACTCCTGATTGACCAGCTGAAACGTAGAGATGAGAATGTACTTTCTCCATCTCAAAAGGACATGTTATTTTCGTGTTATCCGAATACCTGCCTCATAACGATTGGAAGGCAAACATGGAGAAAAACAGGAAATGTGCTACCAGAGTGAGGGTTAACTGATATAACGCGTTTCATCTCTAGACATAGTGCATAATAGTGACGTTGCAGGAGACAGAGTATGGTTTCCAGACACACGACTACCCTCCACATGCCCATATGGAGCTACCTGAATCAATTCATTGAATCGGTCCGCTATAAGCACACAAGTGCCGTGGTTCCAGATGCCATGACTCGATCCACCAGAAAAGTAAGACGGAACGTAATGAAACAGAATTCACTTGCTAGAAATATCCAGGGGAAAGGTCAAGAGGAAAATAGCCGTGACTGTCGGATGTAACGGTCAAAGACAGGAAATAAAATACCGAAAGCATGGCGTCAGTGACTTGACGACAATCATTGGGGGGGGGTTGGATGGCTAGCTGTTGATGTGAGGGGGTGGTTCAGACTAGGACGAGTAACGCGCGGTCATCAGCGTCTGTATGACAGAGGAACTCGTTTCCGCCCTTGGATGAAGTTGTGTCTCTTCGCAAGCTAGTCATACCCACCTCTGCGCAAGCTCTTTGAGACTGATCATCCTCGATTGCCTTTCATACACAGCTGTGTGTAACGCTATTACGTACTTAATAATAGAATTAGTGCGCTTAGTCGCTCCTGATTCAATCGTAATTGCAGCCGTATCTTCAAGCACATCAACTGTAACCGAGTTCTTCAGCATTGAAACCCACCCCATGCGACGCGTCCATAGAGCAGTGTCGATGCGTCGAAAAATAAGATCACCTATGGCGGTAACACCATGAGAGAAACACGTTGCGTCGCCGTGATTTCGTGGTTCAGTGCGTTTCCGTAGGGTTCTCAGTACCACTCAATAGGTGTACAGACTGTTGTTAGACATGCTAACACATAGATTCACGTGATGAATAGGCGGGTGGCAAGTGTAAGAAAGTGGTCTTGTCAAAAAGTTAGAGCACTTGCTGTAAGCTTGCTCTGATGAGAACTAGTTAGACTTCAGAGGGAGAGAGCGAAAGGGCCTCATGCGGGAGAAGAAAATTTCCCACGTGACTAGGCGTTGACTTCAGTGGGGCGTGGCATGAGTCACAATGACCACAACTCTTCCTCACTGTTCATTTTTCTACGTATCAGATTCGTTTAGTCTCTGAAATGGTGTTTCGATGGCAATTGTGTATACTGCCGCGTATAGCCGATACGATGATGGCGACAGGAGGTTGACGGAAGAACCAACATGGAAAAGAAAGATGAACGAAGGTGAATGAGTCGTCCGGTTCATCGATGATTGTATGCAGGAGTTAAGGTACTGGGGTATCATCTGATGTAGACACTGTCATCCGTCTTCGTGTGTGCGAGTATGAAGTATAGCCTTAAGGAACAAACAATCAATGTATATCAAGCGATCAGAGCAGGAGGTTCCCAGTAGTGCAAATGGTGGTGTCAAGGAACCACACACACCACAACAATCTTTGAGCGCTTGACGACAACAAGTTGCGGATCACTCCAGACAGAAATCAAACCGAATCAGCAACAAGGGAGCATCCGGATCGACCAGCTTTCTGTACACTCAGAGAAGTATAACGAACAGACATTGACACTGAAGCAGTATCTGTCTAAACTGGAATTTACATCGTAGAAATACCGTGAGTGATAAGTGATCACGGGACGAAATACTCAAACCTATGGTATTGAAACTTACTGTCGAGAATCGCTGTGAGGACCAAACTGAATCCTGGCGACTTGGTGGAAGTGACGGGCGGTGGACGTGTTGAGGTGCTGCAATCCGGGTGAGGAGAAGATCAACAATTGCGTGAATAAAATGCGGATAAAATCAAGTTCGAGAATTAAGATGAGGAATGTGGTGATCTGACAGCATGCGTACTCGGATAATCTAGATAGAACAATTTAACCGAAGCCGGGAAGGAATAAAACATCTGACAAGTGAAAGTGTCCAGACGAAAAAACGTTGGATCGTACGAATGTAGGCTGCCAATCACGGATACATCATGGCGCCCGGGACGCAAGGGAAAATAAATGCACGCACATGCAAATCCCTCAACTAGAGGCGTTTAGACCGCAAATTATGTGAAGTGGTGAGGCTGGCACCCCGCGGAGCCGGGCGGTTGGGCTCAGACAGAGGAGAGTGTTGGCTATAGCATACATACGAAATCATTCACTAATGATCACAAGAAGTGTGTGTAGACGAGATCGGGGGGTGGGGCGTCATGGCCAACTTGTCTGGGCGCGGATGTAAGTATATGCATTCACACGCAATAACGTAGGTGCGTGGCCGCGGAGCGACTCAGCATGAAACAAGTGAGCGAACTGGTACTAGTTGTCACACAAACCGCGGTGTGTAAAAGAAAGTGGGAGACGATGGGGCCGAGAGAGCCTGTGCCTCGGTTTCCCCACACATCAGTGTTTTGGAAATGACTCAGAGATCGAATAATGCTACTGAAGGGTAGAAACAGAGCACACTGCGTGGCCCCAATTAATTGCTTCCTTTGAACTCGGTAAACGCCCAATTACCGAATGGATGGTGTGTGCTGCGGAAGCAGTGGAAAAACTGAGTGTCCCAGGATACGAGTGATCGGAAAGAAGACAAATTTGGTTGTTGCATTTGGTAGGATCATGAAATCGCATCGACAACACACCAGAAACAAATAAAAGTTTTGACACTCTAATGTGCTCCAATTGGCACATCACTTATGAAATCGTTGTGAGGCTTCGGAGTAGTCACCAGGTGGTAAAACCGTGACACACAATCCCGGCTTCGATCATCACAAGCGCTGGAACTGTACCCGAATTCGTCCTTATTTTGAGGGTGGTATCGGGTGCGCCAATGTCAAAAAATATCCACACCGGATGCGGCCCCAGTGATCCGAATAATCAAGGTTTAATTCGTTACGAACTGTGGTACAAACTGAGATCGTGTGTCGCAAACCAAACGCGCGGTGGGTACCCCAAACTTAACTATGCAGTTATGACATCTCGATTGGGTCCAGAAATCAAGGATGGGATAGCATGGGGAAACAGTGAATCGTGAACGAAGAAGAATACGAACAGTCAGGTCGTGCGAAAATGGGGTGTGGCTGCTTTAAAGTAGCGGGACCAGTATAGAATCGAAACAGGTCGATCCACATGGTCGAAAACCACACAGAACAAACATCGCTGGCGAATTAACCAACACTGGGGGTGACGGGAATTCTGGTGGCGCGACGGCGATGAGTGTTACTGCCGAATTCCATGAAAGCGCGCGGTCAGATTATCTAATTCACCCAACCAATGTCAAGCCACTCCAAGGTTGAGTTGGATGCGTATGAAAGTCATCAGTAGCGATGAGACGTGAGTTGATGTTAATGTTTTGGTCGTCATGATAAGCCACTCCAAAGTCGAACGTAGTCGAGTGTAACCAAGTTGCAGCAGCGATAGTGAGCCTGGTACACGTAAACTGTTATGGGTGGAGGACAGGTAGTCTTAATATGAGGGCGCGGAATCGAGCCTGCGTAGGGACAGGGAGACCCGCGTAGTATCCTTAGCCCACGCGTCACTGTTGGTCGTTGCGCGGCAGCGAAACATCGGTACTGCGTACCGGCGTATTGCTGATGCCTTCTTCTTTTGCATCTACTTTAATGGTGCCGAACCCCAACGAAATGATGCAGTGCGGCACCCCTACATTTGTACACCTTACTTCGACTTCTCCAACCATCTAAAGTATTCGTCTCTTTATATATTCAGTCTTTTCTTTAACCCCTCTTTAGATTTATTCGCTAACTGGTATGATTTGGCTTCATTACCGAATGTCAAGGCGATTTACCTTACTGCGAAAATTCTTCTTACCCACTTCCACAAGCTGTACATTGATCTTATATTTTATCTTTCTCTGTACTACCCCCGACGTTTTTCCAATGTAAGTAATACGCAGTCGATCCGATGTGCTTTGCGAACATTTCGATGACTTGTGGAGAGACAGTTAGTTGTGACCTGCGGGAGCGCACCATAGATTTTAGAGTGGGCACTGGGCTTTGTTTGCAGTGGAAGCTTAGGGGTAGCGGTCACAGCTAACATCCCAACGGTCTGGGGTTCGATAACTACTGTTGCTATCTGATGATTTCAAGCAAGATTGCTGCATTGTAACCTGAGAGTGCAGGTTCGAGCCTGCGTAGAGACCTGGCCACCCTCGCAGTATGTTTAGCCCACGTGCGACTTGGTGGCGGTTGCGCGACAGCCAAGCGTCGGTACTGCACACCGGCGTACTGCTGATGCCCTTCGCCTTTTGAATGACGGAATACTGATTCCACCGAGACTGAGCAGCAGCAGCAGCAGCAGTGATAGTAACAATGACCATCACGTAGTTCGCAAGTAAAATCAATGTCTCAATCCAAGGTTGACACCCGCAAGTCTGTCATACCTATAAGTAGTGGGCCGCGTGTGCACGACGCAGACACAGACGCACGCTGCCTGAAGGTAAACCATTATGACGGGGCTTAGAGACGCGTCCCAAAATTGAATGACAGCACGGAGTATGTAATGGGACAGCAACGCACATGTTAGCGTGCGCATTCACCCAAATTGCAAGTTCCGGTCAGGCATCTGTGCACGAGTGAACAGGCGCATGTGCACCAGACGTGTTGCGGTCGCACGGCGGTCCGTCGAAGGAGCGGAAACATGACAATTAAGCAGTCCACATGCATGATCAATAGGCGCTATAACGGAATACGGAGGAACCAACATGTGCGTATAAATCCAACGGGTGGCACATCTATTTTTATCAAGAACGTTATCCTGCGCAAGCGAATTTCGGTATTTCCCAACTATATCAAACAGTGACACTGAGTACGTTGACAATGATGGTAAGATGTACAGGGAAATTCCGAAGGGTCAGCATTAAAAAGGGGAGTAAAAATCGACTCCTAAGAACGCAACGTCCTAGCAAGGTACAATATGAAATCCAAGCTGCGAAGAGATGCTCACTTTTTGATAACTCTATTCAGCCAGTACATTTACAAGGTGTAAATCAACTGTGCCAGTAAAAGCAGAACTACGGTTAGTAAAGAAAATGATTTAAATGAAGCTGGTCAACTCAATCAATACTAACATCCATCCACTCAAGGCAGGTCTCGTGACAGCCAGTGGGATGAAGATCATCCTCGTTTTCTCTCAGCGTCCGATGCGGAGAAATTGCCACCCGGCCATGATAACAGGAGGGCTTGGACAAGAGCCCCTTGTTTGCACAATTCTGGCGGAGTCACTCTGATTGCAAGCGCGTCTCAGCTGTCTTCGAGAGGCGCTTTTTAAGCCCTGTGGGAAATTACTTTGAAACAGCGTAGAAAACGCTGAATAAGATATTCAGTCGTATCTCATGGTCAGTTTGAACTAGGTGCTCCATGATAGCACTATTAAGATCGCTGACCGTTCCTCTTCGTAGACATCCCGAACAGTGTCTCGTCGTGTGCCCAATATATCCTACACTATAGCAAGCAAATTGATATAGAACATTTGATTGGGACTGAACCGGCAGCCTGTCCTTAAGGCGTTGGGTGATAAAGGGAGTCGTCTGAGCAAGGACTCTCGGGTAGGCAGCTGGGTAGGTTTTAGCGACTGTGGTGGAGTCGTTTGCTCAATGGATCAAAAGCGACATCACCTCTGAAAGGAACTCAGAACAAGACGTCTATCTTCCGTGCAGTTAGAACAGTTTCTTGGCGCACACGGACGGCGGCCTGTTTTCTAATGAACTGATCGGGGTGACGGTTAACTTGCAGAGTACGAAAGATGCGGTCTTTCTCTTTTCCCAATATCTACAGATCTTGGCGGAACGATAATACAAGCAAATAAACAAGTTTCGTTTGTACTTCAAAGGTAAAAAACTCAGAAAGTAGGTGTACTTGCCTACCCATGTAGCCTTCCAGAAAACGTTACTTTCAAGTGACCCATCCTCATGTTACTTCAGCAAAACGTCCAGGAAGCCTAGAATGCCATCGTTTTCCAGTTCACTGGTGAAATGCAGCGAAGGATGAGTCCCATTGAACTGAGCTAGCAAACAAGTAACATCGATGCTTCAGTCGTAGAGAATAAAAGTATCATCCATGTACCTTCAGTATGCATCGAGCGAAGAGATTATTGACTGTAGAGGTACATGTAGAAGCTTGGTTAAGAAAATAGCCGCAAAAAGTGGTCCGAGGAGAGAGCGCCTCTTCGCAACTTAAATTTCTGAGGTTAGCATGGGCATAATTTACAATAAGTTGGCAGAAGTCCTGGTAAAAATGAATTCCTTAGAGGTGATGACTGAAGAAACGACAGTCCGAGAGCAAATTCTGGAGCTCTCGGGAAAATGTATCCACAATGAGCACACAGGAGGAAATGAAGACAAAAACAAAGCGATAAACCAGGGAAAGATCGCACAGAGACAAGCGGAATGTTGGATCACATCGCTATACTTAGCTAGAGATTCTAAAAAGAGCACTCCATCCGTCGCAACGCGACTGGACCCTAACGTGATGCGACGGTTTGCGTACCTCATTGATCCATTGAGCCATACTGGGTGATGCCTCCGGGCACCTTGAGAGCTACTCCTACCAGGTTGGTCAATGAGGAGAGGTCAGACAAACTCAGACTCCTGGTCCTCCAGGTTGGGAGTTGGAAATGGGATGGCGTCCATTTCTGTAAAACTAAATCATTGCCACCTCCCCCTTGCCCTGCGGGCTGGCTTTTGAGCCAAAGGTTTTGGATGAGGACTCTAATCGTCCTTCTGTCTAGATCTGGACGCCCTGGCAGTA